TGACGCATAATCCAGTCCACCACAATTAAGAATGTCATCGGTGATAGTAGGTAGCCTGTTTCGTCTTACTCCTCTGTTCTCTTCGAAAGCTTCACTGAATTTTCCGTAGTGGACCACCTGACACCTGGCATTGTCGCATAGCTGTTGGATGGATTTGATAAGGATTTGGGAATTACACTACATAGTGTTGAAGAAGTTTCCGAATTGATTCCCGTTCAACGCCGTCATTGGAAAGCATTTCCGAAGTCGATGAAGTTGAGGTAGACAGAGATTTAACTGCCATTCTATGCTTTGTTCTGTGATGACAATGTGTAGAGTAGCAATTTGATCAGCAGATGATTTGCCTTTTACTGAATCCGGCTTGTTTCGTTGGGTGGTGGAATTCTGAATCTAGTGCATGTTTTATTCTCTCCAGGATGACGACATCTAGTATTTAACTCGCCGTGGTCATGAGGATTATTCCTCACCAGATGATGCAGAAGCCAAAGTCTCCCTCCTTTGGTAGTTTCACAATGTAGCCTTTCTCCCATTCGGTAGGCACATTTCCTTCCTTCCCTCAAAACCGTGGGCAGTATTGGTGTGAGCATATCTACTCCAGTCTATGGGCCCGTTTTCGACGCTTCGGGGAGAATTCTGTCTCACCCTGCTGTCATCCCGACTTACCTTCATTAATTTGATCGCATTTAGGATTCCCGCTTTCTGTGGAGGATTGGTGTTCACTGGCAGGCACTTCTGTGTGTCCCGTTGGTGGTGGTGTATTTCTGGGCGAGTTGTATGTGATGTTCGATTCAAGAATCCTTTGAAGCGATCGGCCCATTATATTAATTGTCTCTCCTCTTTGGTAATCAGGTTCTGTTGAATATCTTATATAGGTTTCTCCTGCATAGAGAACTGGTTATATGATATAATGTTCTGAGGCTCGTTTTGCCTGCCATCTGCCTGTCTCTTCTGAAGCAGTTGCGGGCCAGTGTTGTAGAACTTTCTTTTGTCTCTCCTGGCGCTATCCTACACTTCTTTATTCAGTGTGATGTGCATTGAACTCAGTTTCTCCTGCTGTTCTCCATCTTTGAATTCAGTCATCTTCTTTTCACCATCCTCCTCTCTTCTCTTCTATTAGCTTCCAGGTAGGTGTCCGTTGAGAGCCATTCCTTGTCTTCTCTCGCCTCTCCTTTCTTCCTAAAACGGTTGTATGCATTGCTTCCTTGAACAATATCCACAGAGAGTTAGTTGCAATGTTCTTCCACGCAGATTTCCTCAGTGGTGCCACGTAGTGTCTTCGACTTCGCTCTGATCTGATCTGATCTGGTTTATAGTGGCGGTATTCCTTGTAGTTTTGTCCATCAGCTCAGCTTCTGAGTATTGAACTTGAATTGTCATCTGCCTCTAGTTGATCTGAAGGCTATCAGCTTGGCGTTGAGACTTGATTGAACTGAAGATGGTGTGAGCCCACATCTGCCTCCCTTCTCGACTTCGTGTCCAGAAGACTTTCCTCATCTCCACTTCCTTGAACAGCATTGAGATGAAATCTATCCGGTTTTTGGTGTGTTCGTACATGTTGCCTCAGATTACTGAATCTTTGAAGGCGCAGACGTCTGTGAAGGGTACTCCGTCTTCATTCATTTCGCTGAAAGAGAGCCTCTCAACCAATGAAGAGTTCTCTTGGAGTGTTTTCTGCGCCTAATTCTGCTTACATTCATATCGTCCATGTGGACTTTGATATCGCCATTCGAGATGTTGTCTATTACTGTTTGTTTTTATCTGTAAAAATCTTCCGTCTTCTTTTCTTCTGCGTTGTTTGTAGCACCTTACGTAGCAATGGAAAATTGCGATTTTCTTTCTTTCTGAGTTGTATCTTGCTGGCATAATCCTACAAACGCGTATTTGGTTCCCAATGCATTAAGACATTTTATTACCACTTGTGATATCACTGTAGTGTGTTGGTTGCACAGCGGTTAGGACTCTCACCGACCATGCACATGATCCGAGGTTCTATCCTCTGCCAACTCACATCTGATATCATTGATCAGCCTGCAAAATTAGGGCTACTGATATCACATGCTGAAAATTCCATACTTGTACCAAAAGTAGTGTGGAATCAAAACTATAATAAAAAAATTAAATAAATAAAAGCGTATACTACTCATGAATAATAAGTAGTAGAAAGTTGAACATGAAAGAAGCAGTATCAAATGACAATGAAGAAGGGAATATATGCTGGCCCTTTGAAAAAGCATTGTTTTCCTTAACTTTCATTCTAAAAACATCCAATTTATTATATATAACAAAAATGTATCCATCTGTCGAAGATAATAGTTCTTTCAAAATGACTTATCCGCTATGCATGAAATCTTGCAACCTAATGTCATTTGTTTAATTGTGCAGGAATAATCAATACTCGTTGTCATATAGCCTCCGGCTGAATCGTTCAAAATACAGGGAAACAAGTTCACTGTATTCCATTATCTCATTATCGACACTCTTCTAGGATCTAATAACGCTTATACATGAATTTTCATGCGTATCTCAAGTTTTAACTGAAGGTAGTTGAATCTCGATCTACAATCAAAGAGAATCGCTTTGCTCTGGCCTCTTTTAAATAGATGCAGTTTGAGAGTTAGTTAGTAAAGCAAACCATAGGTGAACTCTTCACCTCTCTGTGTTCATTCATTTCGTTTTAAGATCTGATAGTTTTGTTGACTTATCACTTTGATTACTGCTGATCGCTGGATCGCTGGAAAGAGCACTATGAGGAGCAGTTTAATTGGCCCACAGCCACGCTCAACCTGCCGAACATCCAACACCTCCCTGAATGAAATATAGACACAGGTCCTCCGTCCCTAACTGAGGTTACTAAAGCTATCACCAATCTGAAACAAGGCAAAGCAGCGGGACCTAATGGGATGACTCCAGAGGTATTTAAATACGGTGGAGACAGTTTACTGTCGGCATTAACTGAGGTACTAGGCAGCGTCTGGGAATCAGAAGAAGTCCTATCGGGTTGGTGTAAGTCACTGATTATCCCCATATACAAGAAGGGAGACAAGTCTTCCTGTGATAATCACAGAGGGATTAGCTTGACTAATATAGTATCTAAAGTCTTAGGCTCAATAATCATGCGTAGACTAAGTGGTGCACGGGAGGCACAAACACGAGAGAGCCAGGCAGGCTTTAGACCAGGAAGAGGGTGTATTGATCATATCTTCACCCTCCGACAGATTCTCGAACATAGGCATTCCTACCAGCGTCCAACAGTCATTATATTTCTTGACCTAAAGGCGGGATTCGATTCTGTCGACCGAGAAGTTCTCTGGAGATGCTTGGCTGTAAAGGGAATCCCGAGAAAATACATTGCACTGATTAAGGCACTCTACTCGTACTCATACAGCCAGGTGAGGGCTTACGGCGAGCTGTCATCTGAACTGATGACGACTGGTGGTATCCATCAGGGATACCCATTATCACCATTTCTATTCAATTTCATCAAAGATGTACTAATGGACTTAACCCTAACTCACTTCAGCGACTCAGGGATTGATTTGCTACCAGGGAATAATCTCGTTGTCTTAGAATATGCAGACGATATAGTCCTTCTAGGCGAGGACGCTGACAAAACAGAGCAGAGTCTTCTGAACACCCTGAGCTGCAATCTACGAATGTTTGGCATGCGATTCACTCCCGCCAAATGCAAGATGATGTTACAGGACTGGACTACATCGACCCCTAGATTAGAAATAGGGAGTGAAGTGGTAGAGCACGTTGACCACCTCACTTATTTGGGAAGTACCACCAGCCAGTGCCAACGGGTTGATCTCTGACGAAATCTCAGCACGGATACAGAGGGCTAGTTTCGCATATGCCAGTTTACGCAGTCTCTGGCGTAGACGTGATATCCGGCCAGCTATCGACCAAAGGGCGTGTATACTGCTCAGCAGTCCGCTCCGTCATTCTTTATGGCAGTGAGACCTGGCCATTGAGAATGGAAGAAATGAAGAGATTAGCTGCCTTTGATCATAGGTGCTTGCGTTCTACCTCCCGTGTGATTTGGTATAATAAGATGAGAAATATTGAGGTTAGGCGTCGAGTTCTAGGTAAACAGGGGAAATCAATCGACGAAGTCGTGAAGTTACAAAGACTGAGATGGTTAGGACATGTGTTACGTATGCCTAGTCATCGCCTTCCTCGACGAGCAATGTTAGCGGATATAGGGTCAGGCTGGAAGAAAGCTAGCGGCGGTCAAACAAAAACTTGGCACCCGTCAATGAAATCCACAACAGTTGGTCTAAGCCACGTAGGAAGGTGTAGACTTCCAGGCTGGGGTCCTCGGGACGGTAAAAATCTATGGTTGGAAACAATTGGTGACATGGCTCAAAATCGTTCTCAGTGGCGCAGATGCATCCAATCCTTGTAACTTATGATCTCCAATGAAACTGTTTTGTTCTTCGTTATTACTCCTCCTTTGTCTCACACCTCTGCTTACTGTCTCTATTATGCTTTTCTTGTACTTTCTTCTCTTGCTTTGTGTGCTACACGGAGTGTGGCGACTTGAACTGCCGCACATTTGTGCAAAGTTCTACGTCGAAAACAGACAGATAGACTGCTGATCATAGTAATGTACTGCTATTATTATTACATACATGTTATTAAGCGGATAAAATTGACTAAAGTACAACTAATGTCTTATATGTAATTCATTCATCATCCATAAAAATATGATATAACAGAAATAATGACGATGGATTCAGTTTTAAGAGTATGTCTTACTAAATCAAATTTCAAAAGAAGATAAGAGAAGCTGGAATTCAAAGAAATTTCACATTAACAAAGAAGTAGATGAGCCACATGCTAGAAAGACAATTCTAATATTTAACAAAAATGTTTTTGATATGAAAAAACACACATAATGAAACTAATAGAACTATGAACAATCTTTCACTGTGAACTTTAGCTGTTTCCTCGTTTGAAAAGTTCAATTTTCGGGCATGTAACAGTCCAGTCAGCTGTCAGAAGTTGATTTGCATAAATTCCATCAATACAGACTAAAAATGATTGAGAAGAAAGAGTCATGTGAGATGATCGTCAGGGAAGATGAGATAGAAATCCCAATAAATAAAACTGTCAGACTTAGTAGTACTCGAATAAATTCTTACAGGTGATTGGTTCACTGACAGTGTGACTTGAATTGCAAAAATCACCTGCCTGCCTACACGAGTAAATTATGTACACTGATGTGAATTTGTCGTGGAATCAATTGATTGCAAAGATCTTCTATTATTACTATTAGTCTTTCGCATACAAAACATCTAGAAAATAGCTGTGTAATTTGAAACTTCACCTTCACTGAGATGATATTTATGATCATCCTTGTCGAAAGAAAGAATCGCATAGTCAGATATTTCTTCCCGAAATATTTCAAATGCAGATGAACTAACTTCTGCACGTGTGTCGTGGATTTTTCAATATTTTAATGAATTCTTTGGAGAGTACGTCGCTTATTGATGAATTACAAGGATTTTGAAGGACTGTTTACTTCCAAAGATGTTATTTTAGCTGAACGTGAGTTTCAGCAGTGTAAACGTCATGCTTTTCACTAATCACTCTTTGCAAACTGAATGAACTTCAAGTCATTAATGAAAGCCAGTATACATTATCACACAGTTGACATTTGTATCATTACAATGACTCAGATTGTTGAATTGTTTCACAGGCTTTATTATTCAGTGTAGATTATTTGAATACTTTCAAGTCCAATAACAGGTGCTTTTTCTTTGAGAAACAGAAGTATGATTCTGTAATTTGGTTTTCAACAACCATAGAATAAAGAAGCTAAACATTTCGAATGAACGAATATACCAAGACAACAAATCTGTGGGAAGTGAGCAAGGTCGAACAACACGACATCTCTTGGACTATGAATGACACACTACGTTTACTGATTATGTATACTTATGATATTATGTCGCTTACCTTTCCACTGCCCCAACACACTGAGTCTGCATGATGACTCAATAACTGAACTTCATAAGATCCTGTCAGTGAAATCCAAGGTGTGACACTCGCAGTGATTATTTGTGTTGAAGCATTCACAGTTCTTTGATACTCGAATGAATTGACTGCGATCCATTTCAATCCAAAGTTCAGACTCTTTAACGCTCCTCCACCGTTGGCTCCCAAACCGAGCAGGGCACCTGACGAGTTATCGTATGCTAAGATTTGCGCGACACTTGGTCCCATATCTAGTAATTTATTGAAATATCGGTAGATAATATCTTAAACATTTAGCTATAACTTTTCAAGGTAAATGCGTGAGAACACCTTACATGAGTGAGTATGTCATTGCAGTAGAGACCTACAGAACGAAAGATCTTAAATATGAAGATCTACTCTGGTAATTACTAGTAAAACCAACCATTAGAAAGAGGGGAATCTGAGCAAGCTAATACAAATGGCTTTGCATCTATGTGGTGATTGACTATTTCTATCTCTGTATTGTTAAAATACTTACTGTTGAATGTTAATATATTTCTTATATGAATTGCAATAATAATTCCGCTAAATACAAATTCCTGAATTCCGCCCTCTCTGTGTTTTGGTTGATTCGTGTAATTCGGTCATCTCGAAATACTAATACTACGATTACAAATAATTACAACATATGTGCTGTCGATTGTTTCGAATCTCGAACTCTGTTGTATGAATGACTGGTTAGTAAATACTCGCATACTGTTATCGACATAACCTGAACAAAAGCTTGGATAAAACTTCATTGACATCTACTCATTTGAAAGGCAGCACCACTAAATAATAATAATGCCTTGATTTCAGTATTAATTTACTGATTGATGATTACAAAGTTTAAATGTAGGATGTCAAGAGTCAATGAACAAAACTGTATCACGTATGTGAATTGGTCTCATGTGTATAGTGTCGAATTGTTTTTACTGTGTCAATCTTCACGCAAACGCCAATATTTGCTTATACTTTGTTCCTCAGTCGTGTACAGTCCGACAGTGGAAGTATTTTGCCAAGATATGTGCCTGAATATCAATACTGAGAATGGATGAAACTACTTGAATGATCTTTACCCACCATGCCAATGTAATTTTGTCGCTTAGCAAACGTTTGCACCTTCGTATGGGTATTCGAAACAGAGAGATAGAGAGGGGAGGAAAGTGAAAGGCAAAGGAATCGGTAAGGAAATGTAGCACAGAAGTACGAAATTATTGTAGCAAGATACTGTATGTTAGAAATCCAGTTATCTTTCAACCATACGTGCACGTATTCTGGAATTTATTCAAAACTCACGATTTAATTAAACGAAGATGATATGAATGAATCATACGTATGTGCCTCACTAACTGGAAATCGCTGAATTACATTTCATTTTCTGTGTGTGATAAAAATGTGTGGGAAAAGTTGCTTCAATCACAGCCTTATCCATATATCCTACTTTATCTGATGACAAAGTGAACCAGATCAGATCTCAACGGAAATAAATAACAACAAGCATGGATTGTTTTTTAAGTATTGGTACTCCCAGGTTTTCCAATGTTTCCTTAACCTATGCCAGCTCATGATGAAATCCTGTAACCAAACATGGATTGAATTTACCAGCAGTGAACAGAGAATCTGAAGAATACCGAAATCACTCACCTGACCATATTCTTTGAGGCAGTGGACTGATCATGAAGCAACGTCTTTGCTCTTCAAATGATAACTTCCAATTAAGCACACGGCCACAATAAAAAAGGCGATCACCAACATTCAGAAATGTGGTCAGTCGAGTACTCAACAATGGAACTTTGGGATTCTTCATTGCAACATAATGCGGTAAGTCGCATGGATCTGTAAATAAGAAATTACGTATATTTTAATGAGGGTATTAAAATCTTTCCATGTGTCATCATATTGTTTACAAACGGTTCTTCAAACAAACGGATTTTCGAAAAGGATTATTTTACACTCAGCCGAGTATATTTACATCCTCAGCACACCGCCATCTACTAGAAACGACGAAATTTCTCTCAGTTGACACAGTGAGGTCAATGCAGACTATGCACTTTTGTTTTGTTCTACTTGTACTTCACCGAATAAAATTTATTTGGGATGAATAGATAAATATATGCAGGAATAACTCACAAGTATGCGCACGGTAGTCAACTTCAACTCTTATTGGAGACATGAATCTGAAGAATTTTGGCTTCCTGCATCTATTTCTGAAGGCGATGCTACGCTCGTAGGGTTTGCATACAACTTCAACCAGCACAGGAAGTTTGTTGACAGGAGGACGAAGAGATTTTGGATATTTCACTTGAAATACAATTGAATATTTCTGACCGAAATATAAAGGACCAACCTTCGGAAAAAAGAAGATAAAACTCTTCTGATTAGAATACATTTATTAGGAGGATCGATGACTGAGTGAATGGTAGTGAACAGAGAAAGATTTTGAATAATGAACCCTCGAAATCAGGTGATATTAAACAAAATGTGAAATTTAGTAAATTGTCCATGTCATGGATGGATTTTTGAAAGGATTTATCATTTAGGTGTTCCATGGTTTCTTCCTACTAACATGGAATAATTGAATATCAGCTTTTAGAGCGATCAGATCCCCATTATCAAGGTGGTGAGGAAACAATTTTCGTGAAATCAATACAATATTATCTATAAATTCAAATTATTGTTATAAGCAAACTGCATGAACAGCTGAGATTTCAAAGATGATAAATCCGATCCTTAAGACAAGTTAAATATATAATCTCAAAATTATTTTATCACTCCTCGAATTAATTCATCCACTTGTCAACTGCCTTGGTGTACCTACAGAAGCACACCTCTCGTTGAAGACATGATGATTCGAATTATTCTGTACAATTTAGCACAAAAACGTGCTAAAATATTCGAAGGTGCATGGTTGTGTTTGTTTGTCTGTTTCCCGTTGCCGATCAGCGAATGATACACGCGAAAAAAGAGTTTCGCGCAAATTAACTATCCAGCTCAGAGAACACAATCACATCAAAGAGTTTCACCAACTAATACAGATATCTGGTATATTCTGTTGCCAGTTTTTTAAACTAAAAACAGTTATTAAGGATCAAGTATGCTCATATTGAAAGCGGTGAACTGTAGAATTAGAGAGTAAATTTTTTCCTGAATAAAATTAGTTTTGCAATATAGCAGTTAATTCTTTGAGAGTCCCTGTGGTCAAAGCACTCTGGGTACAATGTGAAGTCTACAGTTTTTATCTTCTGATGACATTTTCTCCGAGAAATAAACCGTTGTCAAATAATTCTGCTACCAAGTCACGTCTTGTTGTTTCCAGTGTAAATACGGGGTTTGGAATACCTTCTTGCTGTTACTTTAATACACAACAGCATGCGATCCTTTATATGCAGTGGAATACTATTCTTACCCTGAGAAAGACGCAGAAGACCGCCTGAAAAGGCATAGGTTTATTTCTCCATAGAAAAGGCAGTATTATTAGAAATAATAGCTAGTCTAATAACCATTCTACATAAGAAATAAATTACCAGTTTAAGATGTGAAAACTATGCTCTTGTTAGACAGCATTCACTGACGTTCAATCCACGTTGATGTCAAAGGTACGGTTTGCGAATCACATGGCAAACTAATGATATGCTTACTCTCATCCTAACACATTTACAATAGCCTGTCGGTGGGGATTAATTTAATCTTAGAAGCATAAGTCTTCAGTATAAATAAATTCAACAACATGCTTTCTTGGTGAAATCAATCGGACAAGTATTACAGAGCCAAACTGAATGAGGATTCGTGACACCAGCCACCAATTCGAGTGTACAAATAAGTACTAACTGAGGATAATAATGTAGACTTGGGTGTTCCGACCCACTACTTAAAGGAAATACTATAGAGGTGCCCTTTAAGTGTCCAGTCCACATTCCGCAACACGTTCTATAGAGAAAGAAATGGGGTGGCAATGGGGTCGCCACTGGGTCCTTTACTTACAGACTACTTCTTTGCAAGTGTAAAGAATAGTATGTTACCAACCACTATCGATGGTTTCCACATGTACCGAAGATACATGGATGATGCTTCCACCATATGTGACGAGAATACTAACATTGAAATGATAACTAATGAGTTTAACAACTGCCGTCATGCCATCCAGTTCACGTATGAATCAGAGATTAACTCAGAATTCCATTTTTTGGATGTTTTTCTAAAAAAGGAGATCTGATGGTTCTCTTCAAGGATTAATCTACAGGAACCCAACATGGAATGGTCAACACGCGAATTTTCATAGTTAGGTCCCTTTGAGAAGAAAGAGAGATCTGATACATTCCTTATCCTCAAGAATACGAAGGATATATACCATTGATCTTATCGATGGGGAACTGAAGCAGCTGTGACAAGTCCTCATGGAAAATGGATATTCTTCAGAATTCATGGTGAAAAACATGAAGGTAAAGCAAATGCCCTAAAGAACCCAGACAGTACTGAAGAAACTACCATTTGTGAACCTCTAATTTAAAGGTGATACTACGGCTGAGATTCTGAAGAACCACTTATGCAGACCACTGAGAAAAGCCTTCTTTATGGCTGAGCTACGGATGAATTACTAAAGGCGATAAATGATCAATGGATGTGTGAAGGAGAAACTGCAGCTTTGGGTCACTTTAGTGTGTGTTTATAAATTAACTTGTTCCTGCGGAGCTAGTTACACTAGCCGCACACTTTCCAAACACATCTCTGAATATTACCCAACGTCAAATAAAGTATAACTTCATTGTGTGTTAACCACTGAAATATAATTATACTTTAGAAGTTAATTGGTGGATGGTGACTAGCAGTGGAATCCAGTCAGGATGCGCATTTCTTTCTATTCAGGACTCGTCATCTGGATGTCCCTGCACAAGAAGCTGACATGTCAATCTGAGACCGAGCACTTCGATCCAGTCAATTGACAAGAAAATCTAAAATTGAATTAAATAATAATTATACTTTATTTGATCTATTCCACAATGCTCAAACTTTTTACTGACATTAATTACCCAACATGATTAGCAAAAGGACAATGCGAGACAACTAGTAACTGTTCTCGAGCACTTGGTGAACTCAAGACACATAGCTCCACCAGAGTCGTCTTTCAAGATTATCTACAGGATTAGATCAAATAGTCCAAAGGGTGTCAGGTTTCGGTGTTTGTGTATGGTGTAGGCGTTGAAAAATCATCAATACCACCCTGAACTCTGTATTCAAAAAAATTTCGTCCAATCTCTTATTCTAACATAGTTTTAACCTCTTCACCAGTCGTTCCCGGTAAAATTTTTAAATTTTACTTTTAGGTTGCTTTTTCCTTTACAATTAATTCACTATTATCACTCTCACATGTTCCTTCTGTACATTTTCTCACCCTCTTCACCCTTGTTAAACTGACACGCAACTACCTTTATTATCACTCAGTAATAATTTTAACCTCATCAAGCTTCTAACGCTTTCCTCCTTTGTGCCGTTCATTACTAAATAATTTACAACTTTTATTTTTACTTCTAAAGACACTTTTGAGTAATTATATTAATTATGTTACAACCCTTTTAGTCAATAATAGACTACTATACATTTTTGACCAATATAAATATGACTGTACAGTCTCTGAAGGAAGATAATTCTGTATATAAAGAAAATTTTCTTTTACTTTCCAATTGTGTTGGATGGCGTTGAAATCTGCTATATGAAACGTATTAAATTTCCACAAAGTGAGTCGGTAGCACAGCGGTATAATGCCCGTCAACCACGCCTCATGTGGTTCGAAGTTCAATCCGCGGCTGACGCACTCCTTCACCTCACTAGCCCTGTAACTAAAGCTGGTAAAGACAGAAGGTTGGACATGAGACTGGCTAGCAACCCTATCCTGTAGAAATAAACACAACTGCTACCGCAGCTTCAAACCTCTAGCTTGAAGCCCTGTGTTCCACTATGGGGACGTAAAGGAATAAAAATACATACATTTCCACAATTGCAGTAAACTGATTTCAAAATGATATTCATATAATACACATTTGTAAATATTATAGTGGCACCGGTTAAATGTCATTCAACATGGCAAACTATTACTGGAGTTCATTTTATAGGCCTAAAGCATGTGACTTTTGACAGGAATTTTCATTCATGCTGATACTTATCGCAGTAGTTACACTGAGAACATTGTTGGAACACTCCGTGTATATCTGTTAGTAAACATTTGATGTGTTTAAGTGAACTTACTGAAAATTTAACCGATCTCGTTGCAGGATCTAGAGGGATTGTAGTTAATATTTCACTATTATTCCCTGTTTGATTAAACACATTGATTGACTCCACTGGTGAACCAAAGTAGAAAAATATCGACTGTGTTTCGCATTCTAATCCAGTCTCGTTGTTCATTTGAACTAGAGTTTGAATGTAGACTAGATATCTATGCAGGATTTAAAAGAAAATCAGTTACAGTATGAATGACGCTGGGAAAAAAAAGTGGAAAATTTCGGTTAGTGGTACTGGCGAATGTAATAATATGCTGACTAACTTAACAAACATCACACAGTCTAGAGAATTAACAAGAAAATTTTAACGAAAGCATACAAAATTTCCACATGTGTTTCTTACTTATCTTAGTTATGAAATAATAGCAGGAAGACAGCTTAGCATTTACATGATACTTGTGTTTTACTAACAGACGTCATGATGTGAGCTTACAGCGAGTGGAAAATGGACTGTTTCTTTGAGCAACTGCGAATAAGCTTATACTCTAGTAAGCCTGAGAAATTAACAGAATGAGTGAATTGCTTTTTCTCAAACCTATTCGAAATCGTGTTTATCTCACAAAGATCTAATGGTGCAAACATATTCATTCAATGCTTAGTTCAGTCACAAATATTTCTATAAATGATGCTATGCTAACGAATTACACTACAATCATGCAAAGTACAAATAAACCCGTTTTCATTTGTAATCATTGAAAACAATTTACTAAGACTATGGTAGGTGTTCTTAAGATGTAGTAACTGTCACGCATCTTGATATCAATTCTAGCTAGGACAAAAATAGGGAATATGTTCAATGTGCCTTCATGGATTACAAATCTGCCTTTGATTCTGTGCCTAGGTCTCTTTCGTTGGACAAGCTTCCTTTGAGACAGGCCGGATGTTGGATTGAAAAATGATTGCATTCTAGATTTTGTGATAGACAACAGCACACTTTATATAAAGGAAAGTCATTGAATGCTTAACTCTCTGTAACTGGTATCCCTCGGGGTGCTGTTTTTTACCCTTTCCTATTTCCTTTCTTCTTAAATCACGATAATCTAACTGCTTCCTGATCAGACTCTTCCAGAATGAATAACTTTTAATCAGAAATTAGTCAGCTGTCTTTGCCTGAAGGTCTCAAGTTAAATCTCACTAAATATCAAATTGTTAATTCCACGTTCAGATATAAATGAGATTAACATGAACTGGTTCATTCCCATTTTACCAACAGGCTACTGGAGTTGAAACTAAAATTGAGTTTTAAGTGTCTGGAGCTAAGTTTTTCCTATGATCATTCTTTTTCTTTCCTCATCCTGTTGATTAATAGAAAAATGTTTCATCGAATCTTCTGTATTAGGAAGTATCACTCAGCCTTTTTATTATTTTATTACTTCGCGTTCCCAATGGAGCATACGGCTTCAAGCATTAATCTTTGAAGTTTCCGTAGCAGTGAGATCATTATTATTTTTTACGAGGGCGATTTGCCGGCTTCACACCTAACCTTCCCTCTCTAAATAGAGTTTGCCACCAGCTGAGTGAGATTTGAGACTGCGTTGATCGCAGATCGAACCCCAGACCACGTTTGTGGTAGGCGAGAGTTCTACTGTTTAGCCACTAATTTTTTCGAAAAACTTTAAGTTTGTTCCCATTATACATCATCATATGCATTCTCATGGGTATGGTTAAACTTGTGTACAATCTGTTTTTGTCTTATTATTTTCCAATCTGATCGTGTGCTGATGATGAGTGTGATCACTAAGATGTTGAAGTAATCTCATTATTTCCATAGTTATTTAACTTACGACAAAACCTACCAAATGTGAATCATGTGGATATAGTCCACTTGTTCATTATTATCCTATCCAGAGTTTGTAGTAAAGACTGAATGTGAATCAAAGACACAGGTGTCAGTGTAAATTAGTTTAAACCGTGTTGTAGGCCTGCGGTGAAGCAGTAACAATACATGCGTCAATAGGGAAAGATTCAGAATGAACGAATACTCCTTTCATACTAAAATCTACACTGAAGACGTTGTCTAGCAAGATGGTGAAAGCTTAGCGATTATATCAACCAGCTGAGAGAACACAACTAATTCCGAAAAGTTGAAGTGTTGATTAAGAAATCAACAGATTATTTAGCCATAATCATATAAATTATTAAACTGTGTGAAAAGTACTTTGAAGTATTACAAAAGTGTTATTAAAAACTTAAATGATCTAACTTTCTTATTTTCTATGCTGAATGAATGAGATGCGGGCGGGAGCAGTTTCGGTTTCGATTTCATAAACTGATACTTACAGCAGTGATAACCTGAAATGATTTAAGCCTTCTAATGAATTCAGCACCAGCTCATGTTCGTCTGGTTGATAAGATTTTCAAACTACACGTAACCAAACAATGTCTTCGCATTTGATTGATGGATACAGAATCTCCAGCCATATGATAATATCTCCATCTAAATGAGATTAGTCAGATTAACCGAAATCTTTGTGTTATGTCTCTATGGGGATTATTAATTTATTCTTTATGTGTGCTGACATCCCCCTCCTTAGACATCGTTACACTAGTCAACTGTACTTCATTTCGTAGAGTTTTATCTTTCTGCATGATTCAGAGAAAACTGTCAACCATTTTCCGAAGCTGAGGTTCACCAAGTCATTCTATCTGTTACCATAGTTCTTCTTCTTGTTTATTTGCGTTCCAAATGGAACATACGGCTTCAAACTTTCAGCTGTGGCTTCTATTTTTACCTGATACGGTTGCTAAGCCTCACGCCTAACACCGTCCATCTTTAATGGGCTTCCTATCACCTAAGCAAAGTTTGGAAACAATTACATTCTGTCTAACCACCTCGTGATTTCTCTTCCTTCTTTCTTCTTTCCTGGGCACTAAAAAGCTGTCGATAAGGTGAGTGGTGTGTCCCTAAGCCAACCCGTTAATACTGATGTGGACAGATATTTCAACTCATGCAAAAGTTGGTAAAAATCATCTAACCGAACTTTCAGTACCGTCTTTATTCACAACTCTCCCCTTGCATCTTTTCAGGAAGTAAACGAAACAATTATAAAACTTTGTGTTCACACAATTAAATATAAAGCTCAACCATACCCTATTCAGAATGTAGTTTGTGTGATGAGAAAAGTGTCAGGCATAGAACTACTGACTTAATGAGAAACAGTAAATAAACGCCTCTTTCTGTTCTTCTTCTTCTTCTTATAATTATTAATTTACGGTTGCCGCTATTTTTATTAGTTTTTAGTGTTAATTATATGCTGAATATTTTACTGACATTATTAACAATGCAAATGTTGTGTTAATGTAACGTGACGAGAAAATGAGATGCAATATTGTACTACATGCTGAAAATTCCATATTGTACCCAATGTGCTCTTTGCTATGTAGCCATGATTATGATTACTATTGATTATTGTACGGTACGGTCAATCTAAGTGGATAACTTTTGGAAGCAGAGTTAAAAGATTGTAACTGTCAAGTCGACTGCATGCAATCTGTTGAATTAGAGTTGAAAACATTAGATTTACAGTGCTATCGATTCAAAGAGATATCTCTAAGGAGAAAGACTTTGGTGTATCGGCAGACTTCAGACAGTATCCTAGATCAGCAATAAGTTCCAGTCGTTGAAGGCAAACATTTAAGAGCAGATTAGTCGATTAATGAATCAATACACCTACTGGTCACATTAATGTGATACTGGTATCATGGACGCCCAGCTGTCTTCATATCGAAAACAATTATAATGCATCATAAAACATTAGGACAAACCTGTCTACGCAATCCTGAAGTGTGTTCACTGAGAGTTGAGACAGTGCGAACTGAATTATCGGTTTCTCCAAACCTGTTCTTGTGCATGTCACGGAAGAGTTGTTGTATCTTGTAACAGTACTCGTATTTGTAAATGTAGTTGTGAATTGCACGGGCCATGTAGTACCAATTTCTACACGTTGGCTATCACTCAGCTGGATGTTCACCGTTATGGAGAGAGTATTTTGTATCAAAAGACCAAGAGCAGTAGCTGTGAAATAATGATGAAGATAATGATAATAACAATAAGTTTTTAGTCGAAAAGTGTTCCACAGAAGACACTCAACCATTTGGTTGCAACGTGGTAATAAATTCTTTTTCCAGTGTGGATTGTACGTGAACCTATTTTCGTAGACATTATCTACTTTACTGCTTATGGTTCATCGAGCTAAATCCATCACAACAACAGGAAAACCCTTCAAATGAAACAGTTTACCATATTCCAAATCATTGAAATTAATTTTAAAAACTTACCACTGTTGATAACTCTGTCAAAATATACTGTCAGTTGATCTAGCTGGCCAGTTTTGTAACTCGACGAATAATTGAATGAGTACGCACTTGTCTCATTAACTAAATTAGAACCCACATCTACTTGGAATCCTTTCACGGTCAAGACAGCGTCAACATTAGATGTATTTGCAGTACAGTTAACACTAACAGTGAATTTCGTGTAGCTAGTATAGAGTGGAATTGCATATTTTATCGTGAAATTTCCTATTTGACCTGGTTGCAAGGTCATGTCAGTTGGAGTTAGTTCAGTTGTCATCTGAAGAGGAAAAAGCATATTCAATTATTTAAAAAAATTCAATTACACAAGTTGAATAGTCTTCAAAACTTTAGAGTTTTGCGTAATTGAGTGAATGGATGTTACAGTATTCTGAGTAATATGTTCATCACTTCATGCCGATCGCTACCACCTGTTGTTAAGCAATATGCTCCTTCTTAAGGACTCCGTTTGAATTTTCCATTACAGTAGCTGGTAGTGTAGTCAAAGTCTGCTTTTCGCAAACTGGTTTATTGCAGGTTGAGTGTTTGGTAGTTTCGCTTTGAAGCAAAGCAAAAAAATGATGAAAGTGTATCATTAACATTTGAGAAAACCAGTTAGAAGCTAAAATCGTTCTGAGGAAGCTCAATACTCACCAGCCGAGTCTCATATTCCTTATATAGCATGAACAAAACGATACAGTAAGATTTAAAGTACTTTTCTGGTGGAAAAAACCAAAGGAAACAAAATTAGGGCATTATTATATGCAAATCGATCATGTACAAAACATCACTTGTTATTTAAAAGACTCTTTGTGATATGACAGAAAATGAATCTACTAAAATCACTGTTTGATTAACGAAAGAATGTGTATGGAAATCACGATTAGAAACATACTGTACACATTCAGAAATATCCTGTTGTGATATGGATATCCAGATGGTGCAGTCGTGAAGTGTTATAAATAACAGAAACAGTCTGTGATCAGACTGTGATCACGACGGGTAGGTATATATCAAGCTGACATCCTAACTAGGTGAACTCGATGAACTAGTCAGGTGAAATTTTTACATAAAGCCACAAAGTGTTCTTTCTATACCACAAGTCCTATCATTATTTTTATTATTATTATTGTTATTATTATTATTGGTGAGTAGAGCATGTGCATCTGATGCATTCGTTCATCGTATTTCAATATTGATCCTTAATTTAACCCACTTATCGAAGAGATTTACGGTTAGGATTCAATTTTAGCCAAACATTAATCGATGTATGTCTTAGCTGGCTCAGCAACTGCCTAAAAACTTACATCTCCTCTTCAAATGATCTCCTCTATATCAATCTTGGATGTCAGAGTCGTCTCATCCCATTTGAGGACCATTTATTTGATCGTCCTCAATGGCGTCCTTAAAATATGTCTGTTAGATCTCCATATCTGTCTGCATGCTTTATGGAGCATAAGATTTTAACTGTTTAGTTGCCAAAGTTCATTTCTGCTTTACCGTTTACCAGTGACTATCTAATAATCTTCAGTGTCTGATAAATACATCTACTAATGAAAGACTGCAACTTGTTGGAGATGCTTAAGTTGACAACTTTTTGATTCACTTCTGTATATCTTCGAATGTGCGCAGTATGAGACACCAATTGTTTGAAAATCCCAGATATGGTACAATCTATTTATGGGTCTAGTTTATATGTTTACCCACACTCCTCCACAGCATGCTGCATGACTCAGTCCATCACAATCATGAATGTGATCTGTGACAGTGGGTAGTTTTATCTTACGCCTGTCTTCACCTCAAACGCTTCGCTCAGTTTTCCTTTGTGAATTACGTTTCATACAGCATCATCATATAGCTGCTGAATGAGGCTCACAAATGTTATTTGGTTGCACTGAGTATTGTTGAAGGAGTTCCCGTGTTACTTTATGGTCAACTCTGTCGAAGGCTTATTCACAATCAATGAATTTGAGATAGACATTTGACTGTCATTATTAGTTCTGTTCGATAATGATGTCTAGTAATTCTATTTCTTATGTGCATAATTTGTTCTTCCCGAGACCATCATGGTCCTCAGGAAGTTTTCAGGAAATGAAAGGTCAATATTTTGCTTATGATGGACAGTTAATAAAAGACCCAATCTTTTGTCGATACTCAGTTAGGGTGAAGCATTAGAAAAATAAGGCAATTTATTGTGGGTAAATTCACCTTATATCAAAGAAATCAAATTCAGGATGTCGCATGTTAAACATCATATTGTTCCAAATTTGATAGAGCAACACACTTTTTGAGCGTTTTTTAGGTTTTAATAACTTATATTTCTTCTTGGAAGTTTAATGTCTTTGGTGAAACAACACACAGAAAATGTGCCCACTAAACAATATTAGACGAAATAACTGTGTTGGGAAAAATTTACCTACAGCCGGTATTTCTTTTTCAGTTATCTAATCATTGGTATCAACAGACTACGGTGTCAAGAAGCAGGGTTTTGTGATCCGTAACAAATAAAAATTCATACTGACTAGTGAGTATTCGTCACAAAGCCGTGTTCGCTTAGTTTTCTGAGGCTCACATAGGTGAAAGTTAATGAACAACATGCTAAAATAGTGCAGCTATAAGAAGGCAGAAAGGCATGGTTAGTTTGCGAAGCTTTTTGATTGTCTGTCAAGATAACATTTTCAACACACACACACCTCTCAATTCAAAGTAAAATTTCCAATTTCCACACGAGTTTATTAACGATCTCTCTCTCTCTCTCGGTGACTCCGAACGTGATTGGTTGTCTCAAGAGTCCCTCTGAACCTCTTGTCCACTTGCATCGGGATCGACTATTTTGTTGACCTGATAGTTAACGCTTTCCCCCTTATGACTTTCTTTTTGTCGTCTGATAAATCTGATCTATATCATTGTATCTATTGATTGTGAATTCGTCTGAGTTCCAGATTTCTGGGAATTCCCTAACATCCTTGATTTTCCTCATCCTACGATGTGTTCATTTTCTCAATCAAATTAATGTCCTACATTTTCTGATATGAGAGGAATGGTTGTCATATTTTCCGACAATCAGTTTATGTTTAAGGATCAAATTCGCAATTAAACCAAAACAGCTAAGCATGCGCAACTACACCCGCAGAATCTATCTGAACCACAAATCTCCTTCTTCACTTTTTATTATTAATGAATTATTTAATAATAACAAATACACAGTGAAATCCTTTTATCTAACTTTTGACTCACTTGGCTATAGATTGGATTAAGTGGTTGGAAACTGAATGTAACATCCCCAACACTTATATTGCCTGGCCTGCCACTGATCTGGACCTGTACTGGAAATACAAAGTTATACATCGTTGTTTGATTACAATCGCCCATTAATCTCACAGTCCAGCGGATGCACATCTACGAAATGCAAAATTTCAAGAGAATTTGTCAAGCAGAAAGAAATACAGTAATGCCAAGATTACATTTACAATGTGTAAATTTTTCATCAACATTAAGATGTTATCTTCTAATGCAGTATCATTATTATTAATATACATTAATAGATCAACGAACTCATTTCAAGCTGCTATCAAAGCCAAAGCGTGCAACAAAACATGGTGGTGGACAGAGGTACATACTGTGAAGCATGTGTTCATTTTGAGTCAATATTCAGTAAGTTGAGGTTGAAATCTACAATTTTGAGATTTTTGTTGGAGTAGATTTCTTATGAAAGATGAATAATTTGTATAAGACGTTTTCCACGTTCTCTAAAGAAGTGGAATCGAAATGTAATCTGACATCATTTTTTGTATGGTGATTTGAAACAAAGTTTTAGTCGATTTCTGCATAGTGTCTTATGAAGATGAAATATGTGACTCTTCCTATCCTAAGCTAATGCTGGTGTCAGCCAAAAAAGCCTACTCATCAGAAAACTGACATTTGCATTCCATGCTTATGGGAACAGGATTAATGAAGTTGTTAATAAGACGACTTTACAATGAACTTAGCACTGAAGGTGTATGTCCAGAAGGGATCTGAAAGCTTTGCCACATGTGAGAATCAAATCTTTCCCACTGATTTAATAGTTACTTTTCTCACGGCGTATTTCGCATTTTACACGGTACTCTCAATCGCCATGAAGGGAGAAATTTGTGTGACATTATTCAGAATGTCATTGTGAATGGAGTAACATTATCTGTGTTTCCTGAAGTGTTAAACTGGTCAGTCTCTAATTCTCAAAGAAGAGTTTTGCAATAGTACGTACATAATTTCTAAACACTATTCTCAATGAATTCACTGAATCGAAGAGTGAAATAATACGCTGTATACTATTTCTCTGTTGACAATTACAGATTGTTTTATTACAGTCATACTTTTTATCCAGGAATTGATCATTTCACAGAAATATTTGTCAATACATAATTAGGCAGAATGTGTGTTCACTAGTTTTAAACAACTTACTCGGGTGTCCATTTCAGAAATTACACATATGGGACCGTAATCCGCTCTTATCACACTATAAAAGATAAGAAGAAATAAAGTCATGATTTAAAAAAAGTGTTAATTCAGTGAAGAGTGAATGTCTTTCATTTTGTTAACTTTTATTTGTCAAACACAAAGGCGAATTATTTCTAGAAAACTCCGTGTTATAAAATGTTAGGAAAGTTAACGTTAGGAAAACTGTTGATAATGCTAGTTCACAGGTTATCGATGATTTGTGTGAACCTTAAACATTGTTTACTGTGTCAATGAATCTTCAATGAATCAGTAGGATGAAAACCAAGTCGGCTATTAATGCTTCAAGATATTTTGTGTTGTGAATATAATTTAGTGAATATTTGTTTGGAAATTAGTAAGTATGTTTTCTGCAATCGACTAGGTGTTGTTGACTGGTTCTGAAAAATTGCCATTGACAGTTCGACTGACAATCATGATGTGATGAATAGTCTGAATCACACCTGCAGAAATACTTCACATTGTAACAACAGAAGACAAGGGCCAGGCAACAGATCGTTTTATTACGAAAATCAACACGTATTTATATAAATTTAACATACATTATTATAACTTAGTCAAGTAGATAAACGCAGTCTTCTGATTGGTTGTTTTCGAGTTTCTCGGAAAGTAGAGCCACCTATCTGCGAATCATATTTGCCCACGTTTAAGTTTGCTGTGATTGGCTGTTGAAATAGCTTTGTTCATATTTTCTCACGGCCCATATTAGTGACCTAGATATTAACGTAGATTAATGTCAACCAATCGGCTAGCAGCTTGCTGTCACCACAACATGGGTTCTAGCAAAATAATTCATCGAAAAATCCCTTCATGAACAATCCATTCACAATATTCATACTTATTAGAATAATTTCAATTTATCCTGCAAATGCTACCCTTTTCGCCTGACCTGTATATCGTTATTCTAACATTTGCATACCTCCTTTTCACTTAATCTCTATTCACTGTCTCCGTTTCTGGTTGATTTCTATTTCTAGTTCTTCTCTTTACTGTTGCGTTGTTGTTTTGACACTGAGTAGTGAAGGAGAGACTATGCCATGGATTGACTAGTTTACTACGGACTGTCCTTGGAGAAACATGTTTCATCCTACTTGATTCTTACAGGCAGAGTTTTGATCCCACCTTGTTAGAAATGTTTCTATTGATTATATACTAATTTGAAATTGTGTTTGCTCAATTGTTCTTGTTGTGTAATGCGTATTTTGCACTCGAGAAGGTTTTCGATTGCATAGCTGACAGATGGCATTGTTATGTTTGACATATGCTGTTACTGTTGAATAGTGTCCGAGATTCAATCATTTTAAAATGTGAAATGTAGTTGTAGTCTGTGTGTCACTCGCGAGAGTTTGTCAAGCTAAGCGGAAGAAGGCATTGAATGGTTTCTTGTATCCAGACCAAAATACTTGGGTTATGGTCATCCTATATGCATCTGTCTTGATTTCGTTAACGATTTTTATCATATTATGGTATTCAACTGCATATTTCTTCAGGATATCAACGAGTTATTTTTCAATACAAATTTGGGATTCCAGCTGAGTGTCAACATACACACTAGAATCCATCTTTGAATCCCTTCAGGAACACACACCCACACCATGTATATATGAGACAAATGTATGATAATATTTCAATGAAACTGTCTTCAGTCAATTCAGTTAGTTATTTAATCAGTGAGACTGGCTGCATTTCCCGATTATGAGTAAATGAATACATATAATGTATTTTTATCTGGTAAATTTGTTGTCCTCAAGCCTACAGAAGAGTTTTGTCTAATGATTTTTCCTGGGACACCGGGCGATGGAAGATATTCACGGGGAACAGTCATCCTCAACCTTCAGTCGAGTTGTCTATTGCATTTAAGTAACAAACCGAAGAAGTCAGCAGTATCATTACATCAACAGTCATAACAAGTTCAAAATGTAAACACCAACTTGAGGGTCTGAGATGGTTGACACAGACACGAAATGGGCGTAGTTTTTGCCCGTCACAAGAAACACAGCTCATTGAGTAAGAGATTGTCTTTTTGATAACTGACCACCTAGGTTGTTTAATCGAAGAATTTTTTTGTTCACTAACAGCTAGCACTTGAGTAATCTACTTCTGATGGAAGTGAAGAGCAGCGTAATTTTTTTCAGACAAACGAAATGCAAATAACAGTGTGAAAATCGCATGCTGACGGTACTCATTCCAAGACATGTAGGTATGTAATAGCATGTCGAATGAAATCATCAAAAACCAAATATTTCTAGGAGTTTTATTCTAAGTAAATAGCTGCAAGTAATAGCAAGAATTATAACAACGATAACAGTCTTAGACGAATTCTCTTCAAACAAGTTACAAACTTCATGTGAAATGAGACCATGGGAAGGAGAACTGAATTATGTATGTTCACATTAAAAAGCATAACAAAACTGAAAACACCATCGAAATAACGTACTCGCCTAAATAAGTCATGTTTAAGCTGTAACTTGTTTGACGGTACACACCGCTTTGTGTTGTTGAAGAAGACATTTGTGACACATTCATTGACCCGACTCCTGGAGAAATTCGGTTAATCCAAGCTGTGTAAAATGCACAACGACTGTCACGCAATATATGGCATGCTAATAATGCGAAAGTCGTTCCACTGCACATATGTCCATAGAGACCATTTGGGTGGGTGAGAGTTGGTGAATATTGGATACTGAGATTTGGCGTAGATACCTGTGAAAAATGAAACATAGTTTCTTGTTCTAACAACCAAAAAGCAACAAAATATTCTGATACTAATGTCTCACCAAGGTCATATCAAGTTATGCATCGGTTAATTACAATCGTATAACATTCACTTTAGGCTGGTCTACAAGTTTGAACGTAGCATTTTTGAAACACCAACTTTATTTCTCTTCACAAGTCATTTGAAACTTCAATGAAGATGTATAAATTATCGTTACATAAGCGAACAGATTTTAGTGGACTCAGACAAAAATATGCGCTATTGATTAAAAATACTACCATCAGTTCAAAACTCCACAAAACACTTAATGAAGAATGAAAGTAATGTCCACAACTACGAAATGACTGATTTCAGTTGTTGTTTTTTTTTCAAGAAAGTTTCACTATCCTCATTGTACAAGTCTCTAAAATCTACTACTTTAAAAGTAGGATTGTGACCAGCAAGGTGGAATTCGGGTGTATTTCAGTGTGTTTGTTGGGCATATCACGCATCGAGGAAGTATAATTTACCAAGTAAATATTCTGGAGAATTTTCTTGTTCATGATTAATATTAGGGTAATCATATGACTTCATAGCATGGGTTCGACACTAGTATCCACCGTTTGACACTGGAGAAATAAGAGCGGATTAGTTGATAAGTCTATAGCTAGCTGGAGCTGATCTGAATTATCTATTAATGGCTGGATAAGTACAGGCTCTGTTATGCGTCATTTGATCCACTAATTTGCGTTGGTCTTTAAAATACCCAATTTTTCAAATCATTTTGTGTACTTGAGTCACTGGTTGATATCTAGATTCCCTTCTTAACTAGTCATCAGTCTTGTTTCAACTAGATCCTATGTGTTATTTTGAGTAATTTGACTTCAACTCACTCATTTCGTTTATCTGTATAAATGTCTTCAACAACTATATTTTCCAATACAACATTGCTTCGACTTTCCGTTAAAATACGCTGATGTGTATACGCAGAAAGCAACAATAACAACAGACTATTTCATCTTCACGCTAATAAACTCATTCTCCTATTTCCTTTTCATGTATTCTAATTAAAACCGAATGTATCTTGATAGTCTGTAACACTTGACAATCGATTTGAAAATATTATTTCCAGACAACGATGGACGTTTTACTAGATATTCAAGGAATTAAGGAAGACGAAATCCATTTCAGTACAATACAGAACAGATGCAAATAAGCAATTGTATCCAACTTACTTCAGGAGCACCAGTATAGAATGTGTAATAGCCGGAGACATTTGTTGAGCCAACAGTCAATATGTAAGAAATTTTCAGTGGTCCTGTAGTGGTTTCTCTCACGAAAATAGGAATAAGGGATTGTACTGTATTGGATGATGATAAAGCCGAGTCTTTGTTCCAGGCTAATTAAATGGAAATGTGTAAAGAAACCAATTTTTTAATAATATTCTATGTGAAAAACAATTTTCTAACTTTTCCCATAGACACAACAATAGCTCGACTTATATATCACATTAAGAAGCATAATGACTAACCCACAAATCTTCCAGCCTCTTGGTGTCTGAAGTTCAGCTAAATAGAAAAGTATTCCGATAGTCGGGTGGGAAAATAACACCAATCCATGAAATATGTAATCATGTCAAGATGTGAAGGTAAACATCCTCATAATTAGTAAATGTCGAGAACCAATGTTTGAAGATATTAAGCTAAATAAGTCACAAGATTTACTCCATTTTACCTTTAATTTCCTATGGAGAAACAATTCTGAAATAACTCAAAGGTAAGATCATTCGTAAGTTCATTTGAACAAATACGAAAGTGTTGTCACTGACAATTTCTAGTAATGTATTGTTTAAATACTTGTTGTTGTTTGTTAATATTCATTATATGAATTACAAATAATGTAGCCGAATACAAATTCCTAAATTCCTCCCTGTCTGTGTTGTTGGCTGATTTCCTGTAATTCCGTCATTGCAAAATACTACTATTACAAATAATTATAACAGAAAGATAGTGCGTTGGTGGCACAGTGTTTAGTACGCTCACCGATCAGACACATGGTTCGGAGTTCGATACCCGGCCGACGCACTCCTTCACCTCGCCAAGCCAGTGATAAAAACACCTGGTACTGAGGAAAGGTTGGACATGAGGCTACAAACTCCATCCTGCAAAAATAATCACCACCACCACAGAAACTTCAAGCTGACTCTAGCTTGAAGCCCTAAGTTCCACTGGGGACGTGAAGGAATAAAAAAATAATAATAACTAAAAGATATTTACAAAGCCACAGATATGTATCAACAAACCTTCATAGTAAACATTGCTTATAGTAATCGAGTAATCATTTTCAACAAAAGTCGCCCCCGAGTTGACCAAGGTTAACGCGGAGCCTGCACCGAATATTGTTGGCCACATAAATATGTACCTGTTTGAAAAATCCGTTAAAAGTCTGATTCTACACGTCTGTCTTACAAAAGGTTTAAAAAGATGACTAGTCTCAGTTGTGTTATGGCGTTTGGAGTAACTATATTTTTCGCAAGTGGGGATTTACAGGAGACCAGTTCCACATCTGAAGGCGGGATCGCCGACTTGAAAAAAAAGAAATTCGTAAAGACAAATTAGATTTCTGTAAATTTATCAGTGAGTAAATTAACCTCCAATGTAATGAATATTAATCTCAATTTTCAATATAAACGTACACACCATTTCATACCTTATGGATACAGCATCAAAGTATCATAACGTCTGTGTTCAACTGGGTTATGAAAAACACATTGGAGAATATGACTAGCAATTTTTGAATACTGGAGCTCGCAACGTGACACTACATCTTGACACAAATAACGCATTAGCTCCTTTGCTTATCAACTAGTGCTGTATATGAGAATAAGTGGACAACATTTGAAACCATCATTCCCTGTAACAGATGAAGCCTGGAATTAATCCACCTTCTCACATATTGGTACACAACTCTCACTGAACACACCTTTAATTTTGATTTCCGTTATGGTGAGTAGCATTTATGCAGGCCTTAAAATCAGAGCTGATTTTCACAGCGTTTTCACTGCAAAGGAGCAGAGTAGTAGTTAAGTCGAAGATTTTCAGCTGTGTGGTTTCGAATTCCTCTCTCTCTCTCAACTACTTATGAAGTTTAGGCCAATAACAACATTTTCTTACTGATGTAAGCTGTGGTAATAAAAAGTGTGCATAGAAGTAGTGCATACTGTTCAGGTGGATTCTTACGTCATGCAGGGGTCGAAGTTAAAGTCATACATATTCCATTATTCTACCGATAAATCGGTTTCCCTTTATTTCATCGCTTGTACTAAAAACACAGTGAAGAAACTGCGTTACTCTTGATCACAAATTTGTTTAATTTTGAATTTGGCTTGACAGTGAACAAAGATGAGATTGATTGACTGAGTAGAGAAATAATTTTGTTGTGGAAAAGTTTGTTGCATTTCATTAGTTGACTTCTGATGGTATGTGAAAAGATAACGGCACTTTCACCAGATTCATAATGCCGAAGTGGACTCCATCACAAACCGACATCGGATAGAGAGCTAATAAAGGCCAGGAAACATTGACTATGGTTTTCATCCAAGTTAAGAAATCTCCGACTATGTGCTATCACAACTTCATGAGAATATAAAATTACCAAAATTCAGCATAATCGGTGACTATCTGTCGTCAGCCCAGTGCGTTGATGGTTTAGTGGTAGGATGCTCACCAACCACGAACGTGGTCCACAATTCGATCCCCGCCTGACGTGTAGCTTAACCTAAATTAACCGGTAGTAGACCGGGAATGTTTAGTGTGAGACTAGGGATCCCACTTCGTAAAAGACAGTGTCACTGCTGCTGAAACCTGAAGCCCTATGTTCCATGGGAAATGCAATGGGGTTGAATAAATAGTAATAATAATAATAATGATAGTACCAGTCAGGACTTATCATTAGAACTGCAAGATATCCACTGTTAAGTCATTCACTAATGAGCTGTGCATTGATATTCTAAGTTTGGTTTGCGAGCATTCGATTCTTATCAATGTGATTTTTTCCACGAATCGACACCAGATATAGAATAATTGAGACCGATATCCAAAACATGGAGAAACCAACATGAGTTGCAGTGGTTTATTTTAACTCATTTTGATTTATGTCGAAATCTACACTGAAATGAGCTGAAACACCAGAATCGTAACCTCTGAACATAAAATTCTCCCATACATTTTATGGCTTCTATAAACTATAGAAACACTAAGTTGCTTCTAAAGATCCCTTAATACTTTAATTAACCCAGTAGGTGTGTACGTAAAAATTGCACGTAGTTTCAGTGAACCAATTGACTTTACAGACACTCTAGACGATTCTTTCTCTCGACTTATTATTGTTCCAACTTTTATTTCATGATAAATTCCCCACATCACTTTGTCAACTTATTAATCATAGACAAATATACAAAGTAAATGCAATAAAGAGTAAAAGGCGTCCAGAACCTACCGTTAAGAAGCTGGCATTGTAGACTTGAGGTGTAATATTTTCTGTCTTGACAACAGGCAATGTACCAAACAAGACTACTGAAGTGACTAGAATTGGGCTATTACTGTCTAGGTATAGGGAATAACGGACTGCTATTTCACAACGACCATCATTGCACGTCTCGTTATAGTATACTGATTGTATTGTTAATCGCGCTAATCTCCTTTAAAGATGAATTGAATAAAGTGTAAAACTATAGTGAAGAAATATTTCATTTTTTATTGAAAGACTTCTAATTATGGACTTTAGCACCTATCGCCTATTGTATTGAATTCGACAGCATGATTTAGCTTGGTACACTACTGACATTATAAGCAGTATAAGTTGTACATAATTCTGGATTGGTGTCTCTTTAATAGCCCAACTTCGAACTATTTTATTTTACCATATGTATAATGATAATCGGCTCAGAGTTTGGGTTTACTTAAAAACTTTACACATATCGACATATAAACTCATTTCGAGTTACGTAATTAGGTTCCGTTATATGAGGCGCCTGATTTGATCATAGTTGTTAAAGGTATCTGGGGTTAAAGTGGTATAAAGTACTTTATAATGCTTGATTTCATACAGCGTATACGACTGTTTCAATGATACAGGGACACTTTCTGTCAGTTCAGACGCACTGATTCATCATAGTTTTTGAAATACAAATTCAATCAAAAGTTAAGTGAAATGTGTTTGACGAGGATGAATCGTCAATTCAGACAGCAAATTAGTGATGATAAGAGAAAGAGTGAGTGCATCTTTCGGAGATATCATTATACAATCGCGTTATTGGCGTTGATCTCAAATTACTGCCCAGTCGTCAGTTTGGTAGATGACCCCTTCAAACTATGACAGTGAAGAAGTTTGTTTCATATTTGAAATGTTTTCAGATTGTTGATGGTGAAATAAAGTATTAACACATGGAACTGCAGGAATTAAGAATTTTTGAAAATTGGAAACATCTACATTGAATGTGATCAATATGTGAATCATTCATTTTCGTCACTTACGCTCCCGTAATAATAGGCAACCCTATAGGTGTCGTGGTATCTAATATATGACCCACTGTAAAAACAGCGTGTCTGTATAGTGTTCCTCCAGTTGAATTTAACTGAATTACGATTGGACTGTATAGAAAATCCATCATGAACCTGACACGAGCTTCTAGAGTGGTTGTAAACTGCACCATTGGTTTTGAATAGTAGGGATCAATTTTTCTAAGGGTAAGTATAGGATATTTGGAGAGCTAGATGAAAATAGAGTAAGGTAAAATAAGTGAGAGACATTAAATAACTCTGTCATACAAACAAAGCAAATTATTGATAAAAGAAGTGCTCCAAAATAGTTTTTAGTTGAACATTTTAAGTTACAATTCTCCACACTTTTCTTTTCAAGATCCTTGTCCCTGTTGACTTTCATCTTATTTACTTTCTTATTAGATGAGTAGCCAACAAAATATGACTGAAATTACGAGGAAAAGCACTTCGACCTGCCTCACCTGATTGTCAGACCGAGTAAATAGGACGAAGTCTAAGCACTCAACCATATTCCTCTGACACTAATAAATGTTAAATAAATTTGTTTGGCATAACATACTGTGATGCAGTGTGAATAACTAAATGACGTTTCGTGCACAAAGCATATAAAAGGATTCACATTTGCCAATCATTCAGTAATACTGTATGCTGCCTAATCAAATAAAGTTTTCCAGTATGGTATTATTCTATACAACAGTGAGTGGAGTCCACTCTTATACTTATCATAACATATAGTGGGGTCACACACATTCATGCAAAGCACTTAGGGAGAATATCATTCTTGTAAATAAACTTGGAGATTGATGGAGTGAGAGATTGAGCGAAGAAGTGTTGTGTATCAGACTGAAGTGTATGTTTCATGTCTATAATATTGTATGAATATATCAAATCAACAGTAGTAATGAAAAGAACTACATAATCAGAGTCTGAAGTTCATACTTCTGGTTTACTGTGACTGCAGACAATGAAATAAGTTACATGCACGATTTAACTTAAACAAAATATGAAGCTTTCTTTCACGTAAGTAGGAGAAAATATTGAATTACAAATAATTAAATTTAAGGCATGTTCAGCATCCTCAGTGGAAGTGGTTACAAGATCACTCTCATGAAATCCTTTCAGACTAGTTATTTCTGATGTTCGAAGTTAGTTATTAAAAGAAACGTTTCATCAAGGGAAGTGCTCTAGTTATCTATAATGACTCATGGTGGCTGTCTTATTTCGCCTGACGTGATACATAGTCAGTAGTGTGTGTGGTGGAAAACTTATTTCAAAAAGTCAACTACATTCAAAATCAAGTGTTTTCCGAGGAGAAGTGATTCAGTTCAGTCAGTTGGAAAGACTCATGATAACACGGAACGTAACCCAAGTTGTGTTAAATGTGAACATATTTAGTAAACTTACCGGTGCGGTAGTAGGTGGCATTATTATAGATGTTATTGGGACATTTTTCTGTACTCTTGGCAAACTTGTCGAAGATGCAGTAACTTGAAATCTTATGCTGATTACACTGCCTACTGTAACCGCGGCATTAAAATAAAACTTGATCCCAACTCTGAAATTATAAGTATCACTCAATGAAGTTTTGTTATTTTCAAAAATACCCAGGATTGTGTTTGCTTCGAATCTCCGTGTATTTGAAGCACCTAGTATATATTCTGATATAAGTCTTATCTGTAAGATAGGAAATACAAGTTTTGGTATAAAAAAAGACAGCAAAATAAAGCCACTGTCAAAAGTAGAACTGAAAGTTGAGTTAATTATCATGGAAATAAATACGTTGAAAGGCAAACATTATGTGATGTGATAGCGGATCTTTTTCACTAGACAATGTCTTCTGTTTGACTAAAGAGTGCGTGTCTGCGTGAGTGTGTGTGTGTTAGATCACACTATCACAAGTCTATTCTCTCATCATCCGCTTATACTGCTTCAATTCATTACACAAACACTTTCTAATGTTATTAGACACATGTGGTAGGTCATTCAAACGAACGTCTGTTGTTGCTGCACTCAATCACTTCCTGCTGTTTATGTTTGTCAGTATAAACTCGTCGAAATAGAATCGTCTCGAATAAGCATAGACAATCCAACTTTGCTGATCTAAGAAAATACAGATATGCATCACCCTGCATACTATGACCATGAATTTATCTCATCACAATAAAATATTCTGAATATCATTGTGAATATAGCAGACATAGTAGTTGTTCCTTGATCATGCCAGAGCCATTTTGTTAATGATGTCACACATGTAAGTGTTTACGGATTCAATTTCACTGACTCTTATTTCTTATTCCAACAGCCTTAGTTTTATCACTTCCTAATACTTTTCTTTAAATATTTCAAGCATTGTATGACCACCTACAGAGAATGCAGAAAGTCTTAAAGGATGGAATGGATGATTTGAGCAGAGTTTCCATGTAAGTCCTTAACAGTTTCACCATAACACATTTTTTATTCCCTTACGTTCTCAGAGGAAAATAAGGCTTTGAGCTAGAGCTTTGAAGTTTCGGGAGCAGTGGTGTTTATTTTTCCGCATAAAGTTGCTGGCCTTAGACCAAACCTTCCCTCTTCACCGCTGTTATAACCAACTTACAGAGGTAACGGAGGAGTGCGTCGGCCTGAAATCGAACCCCAGAATACATGCGTGGTTGGCGAACGTTCTGTCACAAAGCCACCGACGCCACATACCCGTGATTATATCACATTTCACTTCAGAATTATGCAGAATAGCTTCATCTATTTGTTAATCGAATGACACGAGGTAGCTGCCTTACATACACCACTCCATTGAATTGCACCTCATGTCATATGATGGATTCAATCTTTTTATTAGGTGGTTTATTCAGACATATAGAGAGCTGTTTTAAAAAAGTGCGCATAATATACTCACATTTCTAATTGCATTGGAATTATCCTTATCAACGTACAAATACTCCACATGATGTATTTCAGCATATGTAGGAGTAACTGAAGATGAGTTTAAAGTAAAGAGACCGGATGATAAAAAGGGCACGATAAGTTGAACGTTGAAATACTTAACCATTTCGATTTGATTCATGAATTCAATATCACCTACCACCAGTGAACACTCTGATACCTAGATAAAAAGTTAGATAAATTTATATTAAGAACATCCTACATTTACGAAATTGGAATATTTATAGACTGCGCTTTCACAGGTTGCTACAGTCACATTCATTCCGGTAGGTGCGATTCTAGCTTCGAACCTCTCAGAAAAGAGACTTCTCGTTGAAATTTGAAAGTAGGCTGTCAAACGAACTGACCGATTGGATATCGATAGAGAAGTATCATATAGTCCTAGAGTGAAAATAAAATTAAAAGATCAATTACAAATATGTAGTGCAGTTGCTAGTTGTGTAGACAAACAATTTGAAAATGAATGAACACTTGCCGTACTCTGTAAACCAGTTGGATATCTTGTTTAAGTAAGACATATTCTTAATGCTGTATTTTCAATAGAAATCATAGTCAAAAAATGTAAAGAGAATTCACTGTGTCAGAATTAAAGGCGCCTCCATATCTGTTCACATTGTGCCGCTTGATTCTTTCTTCAGATAACATGAATAACACGAAGGTCTAAGTTGAAAAATGCCAGTCATCATCAGTAATAATGTCATTGGAAGTTTTCAGAATGATCATTTTCATACCAGAGCCAATTCAGCATTAAGGTTCACTCTGTATGTATCAAAATGGATGGTATCAGCGGCTGATATAATCGATGGTGATATATTTGACTGGCGTATTTAAAATGTTCACTGACAGTTGATTTATTTCAGTGCACTAATTGGTCAATATGTAAACTGAGGTTTATTTGAAACACAAATTGCTACAGTAAGTAACTGACACATCGAAGGGATGTAGCAATTGCAATTAACAGATAAATGTGGATTCTCTTCACGTTCTGATCATGTGAACAATAAGACAGGAAATTCCATTATCACCCATAGTGTTTGAATTCGTTGGGAAGTTGTCTATGTATTCTGACTTATTCAGTGGAAGACTATAGTGATGTGTGTGGATTTTTAAGACAACGACAATCACGCATTAAGATTACAAGTTTCCAGACTGTAGACGTTACTAACTTCCTGGAATAATTTGTGCAGGCAGTCAGACTGAATCATTAAAAGTTTGTTAAAATGAATCACGTATTAAGTCTGCAAAATTAGAATAGAATAATACCAACATTCTCTTACTAATTTTTCATATCACGTGGTATGTTGTTTTGATGTGTGTGCGCTTATTTCTTATTTCTATTAGTATTTATTATCTGCTACTGTTCAGTGTATTGTCAGTCGCTTGTTTGACACTTCTATCTGCAGTGAATGCACTCGTCGGCATAGTATAAACGACGAAGTACTTGACTAAGAAGTTCCCAAATAAAATCTCAGAGTACATAAACTCGAAATCTGTTAAGGAGCAAAAGGAAATCTCAACTTGTCGTTTATTTAGGCACTTGTAATTGACCGTACCTATCACCCTTCCCCTCACTAAAAATTAATCACTTTCCATGACATAATTCTGTTTTAAAACAAATTGTTCAATTATTTTAACACATTGTTATGTTTCTAGTGTGTTCATGGATTTTCCTGGATTTGAAGATACTTTTAAATGCTCAGTTAGCTAGATGGTCCCTCTACACACACTGTGTAGTTTGAAATGGCAAAGTAGAATTGTAACTCGAGCAGATGACTTTCTTGTTGATTCATTCATTGAACTGAATGTGTTATTTGTGAAGCCTTCATCATTTATCCTGACAAAATCATTAGCGTGAAATTCATTTTGAACAGCATTACTAATCAAATGAATTTTATTCGAGTCAATTATGCCGAAACAGACTTTTGAATGACTTTCTACGCATTTCTTGTTAACAGTTTATATAGAGTGTTCTGTTATAGCCTGAGTAAACTGATTCGTTTCAAATTCTACTGAAATAATTTCACACATGAAAATCTCTGATGGAATTCCACGTTTTTTAAAAGTAGACGATAATAAATTGTTTCTACATTTTTTTTTGTATAGCAGTGTGGTGTGTTTTACTGAAGACATGTAGATTAGGTTTTGAGGGAAAGCTCTGAAATTACTTGACTTCAGAATCGCCACTGCCGTTTACATTGAAACTTGATACTACTTAGTGAAAAGATAACAAACTATTGTGCTCGATGGTTCAAAATATGGCCAAAGCTTCTATTTTCCCTGTCTACAGCAGTTAAATGGAGAGGTGAAACATACAACATTCACTTCTCTCTACCATATCTGTAACCATATTCCATAATCTAAGAATTTGTTTTGACAAGTTGCAGCGACATATGTTCATATAATTTAATGTGTGAACACGCAGCAAGCAACAGTCATCATAAAAATTATAGATTGCATAAAAGAAATATCCCACATGATGTTAAATATTTAACATAGTAAAGGATTAGTAAACCTACCTAAACTCTGCAAATTTTTAACACTTATAGAGCTTAGTGTTGTATGAAAATATGTAGTGAGTGGAGTTTGTTCTGTATTCATTTCATATGTTTCTGGATATGTGGCAAAAGTGTCAGGAATCGTGATAAACATGTGTCCGATTGAAGTTGCTCTTGTAAAAGCACTGAAAGTGAACTGTAAAAAAATTATTTGAACGCTTGTTTAGCATAACTTCTTTACTAGATCGATGGTTTTCCTAGCCTGTCCTAAGCGCAATAAAAGAGGAAGCTTTAAGAGCAGGGCTAGCGACCCTACACCAAATAACCCAAGTGAACTCCTACAGAAACTTCAACGCACAAGAAAAACATTAATAATACAGAAAATATATTAAACAAACTTATTTTTATCTGAAATCAGAGAAGCAAAATGACACAGGCAGCTGGTGAAAGACTTTGGGAAGCGAGCCAGCCAGCCAGAGCCAATCTGTCTTCTCTCGATGGAAGGAAGAATAAGAAAGGGGACATGGAAAGTCCCTACAATGTACAAGACTGGGAAGGCTACCCAGGCAGCCAAAGAAGTAAGAAGACATGGTGTAGAAGTGATGGGAATCTGCGAGAGCAGATGGAATGTATATGGACTGTCAACATTGTCAACTGGAGATTCAATAATCCACTCCCATCTGGTCATCCAGACAATAACTCAAACTACAATGAGGCAGCGAAAGGCTATCAAGATATTACCACTGGCAACCAGAGCTCTTATGCAGTGAGGCCTAGTCTCTCGCTGCAGGATTATACCAACAAGATGCAACTTAGAAAGAAGGAAAGAAGGGTTACAATCATCCAATGCTATACAAAGTGCTACAAATAATGTGGAGGAAGAGAAGAAGGAAAACTTCCACAGACAACTGCAAACACCAATAGACAACATCTCGAATGGCGATATCAAAATCCTCATGGGCGATATGAATGCAAGCCAAATTAGGCGCAGAAAACACTCCAAGAGAACTCTTCATTGGTTGAGAGGCTCTCTTTCAGCGAAATGAATGACGACGGAGTACTCTTCACAGACGTCTGCGCCTTAAAAGATTTAGTAATCTGAGGCAACATGTACGGACACACCAAAAACTGGATAGATTTCATCTCAATGCTGTTCAAGGAAGTGGAGATGAGGAAAGTCTTCTGGACACGAAATCGAGAAGGGAAGCAGATGTGGGCTCACACCATCTTCAGTTCAATCAAGTCTCAACGCCAAGCTGATAGCCTTCAGATCACCTGGAGGCAGACGACAATTCAAGTTCAACACTCAGAAGCTGAGCTGATGAACAAAACTACAAGGAATACCGCCACTACAAACCAGATCAGATCAGATCAGAGCGAAGTCGAAGACACTACGTGGCACCACTGAGGAAATCTGCGTGGAAGAACATTGCAACTAATTCCCTGTGGATAGTGTTCAAGGAAGCAATGCATACAACCGTCTTAGGAAGAAAGGAGAGGCGAGAGAAGACAAAGAATGGCTCTCAACGGACACCTACCTGGAAGCTAATAGAAGATAGGAAAGGAGGATGGTGAAGTAGAAGATGACTGAATTCAAAGATGGAGAACAGCAGGAGAAACTGAGTTCAATGCACATCACACTGAATAAAGAAGTGTAGGATAGCGCCAGGAGAGACAAAAGAAAATTCTACGACACACTGGTCGGAAACTGCATCAGAAGAGGCAGGCAGGCGGTAGGCGAAACAGACCTTACAACATGATATCATACGACCAGTTCTCTATGCAGGAAGAGATCAACATAGGAGAAACCTGTAAAAGATATTCAACAGAATCTGATTACCAAAGAGGAGAGACAATTAATATAATGGGCCGATCGCTTCAAAGAATTCTTGAATCGACCATCACATACAACTCGCCCAGAAATACACCACCACCAACGGGACACACAGAACTGCCTGCCAGTGGACACCAATCCTCCAAAGAAAGCAGGAATCCTAAATGCGATCAAGTTGATGAAGGTAAGTCGGGAGGACAGCAAGGTCAGACGAATTTCTTCTCGAAGCGTCGAAAACGGGCCCAGAGACTGTGGTAGATATGTAACAGCAGAAGACAAGGGCCGGCAACAGATCGTTTTATTACGGAAATCAGCACGTATTTATATATATTCCATGTACATTATTATAACTTATTCAATCAGACAAACACAGTCTTCTGATTGCTCGTTTCTGGTTTCTCGGAAAGTTAAGCCATATATTTGAGAATCTTATTTGCCCACGTTGAGTCTGCTGTGATTGATTGTTGAATCAGCCTTGTTCATATTTTCTCACGGCCAAGATTAATAACCTAGACACTGACGTGAATTAATGTCTACCAATTGGCTAGCAGTCTGCTCTCACCACAGATATGCTCACACCAATATTGCCCACGGTTTTGAGGGAAGGAAGGAAATGTGCCTAGCGAATGGGTGAAATTACCAAAGAAGGGAAACTTAAGCTTCTGCAGAAGCTGGTGAGGAATAATCCTTATGACTACGGCGAGTTAAAGACTAGTTCCCTTCATCTTGGAGAGCATAAAACACGCACTAGATTCAGAATTCTGCCACCCAACGTAACCATCCGGATTCAGTAAAAGGCAAATTATGTGCTGATCAAATTGCTACTCTACACATTGTCATCACAGAACAAAGCATAGAATGGTAGTCAAACCTTTATCTACCCGAACTTCATCGACTTCGGGAATACTTTCCAATGACGGCGTTGAACGGGAATCAATTCGGAAACTTCTTCAACACTATGTAGTGTAATTCCCAAATCCTTATCAAATCCATCCAACAGCTATGCGACAATGCCAGGTGTCAGGTGGTCCACTACGGAAAATTCAGTGAAGCTTTCGAAGAGGACAGAGGAGTAAGACGAAATAGGCTACCCACTATCACCGACGACATTCTTAATTATGGTGGACTGGATTATGCGTCAGACTGTGCATGGGCAGTGAGAAGACAGAAATACGCTGGACAACCGATAAGAAGACTCCATCTAGAAGATCTGGATTTCGCGTGTGGATGATTTATGTGTAGTGTCACACAAATTCGAAGACTTTCAGGCGAAAACCAACAAACTGGTTCAAGAAGCTGGCAGCGAAGAGATGACTGCAGGTGAACATAGAAAAGACTGAGTTGATGAGGACAACCAACCAACTACAACGGCAACATCAACTACAACAACAAGCACCATTCATCGTCAACCGAATTAGTTTGAAAGAGGTCACTTCCTTCATTTATCCAGTCATGTAGCACAGTTTCAACCACAGGCACTCGGAACGGATGAAGATATCAAAACCAGCCAGCCAGAGGCGGAAATGCAAGGTACACCTTCATCAGTCTGATACCAGTTTGGAAATGTTATGTACTCCGCCTCAGCATAAACAACAAGAGTCGTATTCTATTCACTACAAATGTGAAATCAGTCAGTCAGCTCTTCCTCTCTGTCCGTCAGAATCGTGCACTGTGTGTCAGGAAATGGATTCCCAACAAGTTACACACTTTTGTTAACATCTGCCTCCTTCGTTGGCTTGCTCCATACTGTAGATCAAATCTTCAGCCAGGCGACCAGAAAGAATTAGCAACAAGAAACTCTCTATGTGAAAAAACCAACCAAGAGTTAATTGCTAAACAAATATGTAGGAGAAAGTAAATATTGTTTGGGGTAGGCATACACTGAAGAGACCGTCGAATGACATGACGCTCAATGCAGGTCATTTCTTGAGTGGAATCCCAATGGGAAGCGACGAGCGGGTTGTCAGTACGGAGGTGACATGGAGGAGATCGATTGAGAAAGAGATAACAGAATATGTGAGATCGTGATCCAAGTTAAATACAACTTGGAGTTGTGTTGTTGAAGTCATATGTTCTACTCGGAACCCAAGGGTACAGTCATACAATAATAGAAGCTATTCAAAGGAATAGAGTTTTCAAGGTTCAGAGTGAGTTGGTGCTCGATGTAATCTAGTTGTTAAATTGATTTTTATTTACACAGCTGTATAATCGTCTACACCTATTCCTTGCAATAAGTGACCACAGATCCACTTTGTGTGTGTGTGTGTGTGTGTGTGCGTGAGTGAGCGAGAGACAATATTTTTTTTTAATACTAAGCGGCACCATAATGTTGATGACGATTTTACAATGTTTTCACAGTTCACTATTTTCACTCATTGACAAATTTTAACACAAACAAACACGCACATGCACACACAACAAACTTACTTGTTACATTCTATTTAGAGGGTACAGATATGAGAATAAAATCATCGCTAAGAGAATTTTCTCCACAGAAAGCTATTCGTTTGTGTTTCTACAGAGATTATTAACTGGAAGTGGGTTTTCGTTGACTCGTAATTATGGATATATGTAAACATGCATCGAGTTTTGGAATGTGATTGTAGTTACTTCAACGTTTTGTCTCTACGAAAATTAATCAGACTAACTTCATTCCACAAAGTACACTTTATTTTATAGTTCTTTATAAGAATGATGATGTTTTTCAGCCTAATTTTCAATCTTTTGTATAATGCTTATAAATATTTCTAGGGATTGATTAGAAACAATCTCCTTTTGCAT